GTCAAAAACATGTTTTGCTTTTTTGCCTTGTTTTACTGGCTTTTTAGTTCATAACCACTGCTTAAAATGTTTTTCAGGACCTTGGTGTTGTCATGTATATTTCAGTTTAATTTAAATAAAAAGAAACAGAACAACCTTATTCGCTTATTTAGGCTGTATTGAAACAGGTGCATGAACACACACAAGAACAGAGAACTTTCTGGTTTTAGCTGAGGTGGGTTTGAGTTCAGGCAACTCGGGTTGAAGTGTGTCCTGGTTAGCTGGGTGGAGTGCTTTCAGTGGACTGAGTAAAAGAACATAATCTGACAATGAATGGTTAGAGCCGCATGAAGGAGAAGCTAGAACAATCCGTGCATTTACATGCACGATCAGGTTACTGTCACTGGATTTCTTAAATGTCATGTTGTAAAAAAAAAACATGGTTTCTGTAAGGGAATTAGGAAAATCTGATATCCCCAGTTAGATTACTCAAAGAGAAAGCAGATTTCTCTGCCATCTACAGTCCCCTCCAAAAGTATTGAAACGGTAAGGCAAATTCCTTTGTTTTTGTTGTTCACTGAAGACATTTGGGTTTAAGAACAAAAGATGAGTATGAGACAAGAGTTCAGAATTTCAGATTTTATTTCCTGGTATTCACATCTAGATGTGTTAAACAACTCAGGACATACCCTTTCTTTGAACCCACCCATTTTTTAAGTGAGCAAAACTATTGGAACATGTGACTGACAGATGTTTCTTGTTGCCCAGGTGTTGCCTTTTAGGTTGATTGTCCAAACATTAAGTAGCTCTGCATGACTAGTCTAAGTTTTCATCCTTGGTTCAAACCTATAAAGACTGCATTTCCTGTTAAAGAGGATAAACCAACATGAAGACCAGAGAGCTGTCTATGGGAGGAAAGCAAGCCAATGTCAAGCTGAGAAAAGAAGGAAAATTGACCAAAGCCATTGGACAAACATTGTGCGTAGCAAGTACAACAATTTGGAATGTCCTGAAAAAGAGAGAAACTACTGGTGTACTGAGCAACAGATATCGAACAGGTCGGCCAAGGAAAACAACAGTAGTTGATGACAGAAATATTGTGAAAGCTGTGAAGAAAACACCCAGAACATCTGTAAGTGACATCAGCGGCGACCTCCACAGTGCAGAGGTGAAGGTATCACAATCCACTGTTCAAAGAAGACTCAGAGAGCAGAAATATAGAGGCCACAACACAAGATGCAAACCACTCATCAGCAGGAAGAATCGGATTGAAATTTGCAAAGAAGTACAGAGATGAGCCGCAAAAGTTCTGTAACACAATCTTATGGACTGATGAGACCAAGATTAATCTCTACCAAAGTGATGGAAAGGTCAAAGTGTGGAGAAAGAAAGGAACTGCTTATGATCCGAAGCATACAAGCTCATCTGTGAAGCACGGTGGAGGTAATGTCATGACTTTGGCGTGCATGGCTGCTTCTGCAACAGGCTCATTAATATTTATTGATGATGTAACTGATGATGGTAGCAGCAGAATGAATTCAGAAGTGTACAGAAACATTTTGTCTGCCAATTTACGGAGAAATGCATTGAAACTAATCAGGAGGAAGTTTATCATGCAGCAGGACAATGACCCAAAGGACTTCATCAGGGGAAAAAGTGGAAGGTTTCAGACTGGCCAAGTCAATCATTTGACCTTAACCCAACAGAGCTGCATTTCACCTCCTTAAGAGGAGACTGAAGGGAGAAACACCCCGAAACAAACAAGAACTGAAAGAACAGCAACAGTTTGGTGATGTTGATGTGTCGCAGGCTTGAGGCAGTTATTGTAAGCAAGGGTTATGCCACCAAATATTAAATGTTATTTACTTTAAGATTATTTGTTCCAATACTTTTGCTCACCTAAGAATGCTGGGGTCTAATACAAACAGTGATATGTCCTGAGTTGTTGAACACATCTAGATGTGAATACCAGGAAATAAAAGCTGAAATTCTGAACTCTCATCTCATACTCATCTTTTGATCTTAAACCTAAATGTCTTCAGTGAACAACAAAAACACAGGAATTTGCCTTACCGTTTCAATACTTTTGGAGGAGACTGTATATGCAGGTTGTGATTGGACTTTTCCGCTTCTGACAGAAGAAAGTATCTCTGACAGTAGAGGGACAGGATGAAAGAAGGGATCATTATATCAACAGCAATACATCTTTGCATGCAAAATTATTTCAGACAGGCATTCAACAATGTGCTGCTTCGTGAGGTCTGTGAATTGGAAATTGCTCCACTGCAGCACAAGTACTGTCCACAAATACGCGAGGCAGCATGAACATGTGACGCGAAAGTATCCCGGAGCACTCCTTTCTTTCTCCACACTAGCACGGTACATTATCAGCACGAGGATTTGTTGGCTGTTAAAATGTATTTTCTAAGTATTTCATCATTGCCGTCATTAAAAGTACTTTCATGTGTGTCATCTAACATTCGGCCGTTTCATATTTTCTGTTAATTAACGGCCACGTATGGGCGAGAAAACAGCTGAATCTAACATTAGACGATCTATGACTGTACACATCAGTGACGTGGAAATTGGATTCATTTTAAGATATGCTACTATTGTCATTATTCTAATGTGCTTGATCAGGATTACTGTATAAAATATTGATTTATTAACTAGACATGTTTTTGATATTTATTTTAGACAAATTGGTATGTTAATTGGCATGTAAAAGGCATTTTTTTTTTCCTTTTTAGAATACACAAAATTAGTCGTTAGATTAATTGAGTTGAAAAATAATCGTTATGTACAACCCTACTTGATATTCCACACCTGTGAGGTGGATGGATTATCTCTGCAAAGGAGAAATGCTCACTAATACAGATTTTGACAGATTTGTGAACAATATTTGAGAGAAGTAGGCCTTTTGTGTACATAGAGAAAGTTTTAGATCTTTGAGTTCAGTGTAAGTAATGCTTCCAAAAATATGGTCTGAGGTAGGCGAAAAATCTACTACTGACCTGCAACTTCACAGTAATCAGGTTACTGCTGTGTATCTAAATACATTGTCTGATTTCCTGTGTAACCCGCTTTTCCGTTTAACCTGGTTTCCCCATGTGCATGTAAATGCACCGACAGTCTCGTATGCCAGGCCAGACAGCAGGCTGGAGACTCTGGCTCTCCCAACTCTCATTGCCTGCTGGAACGAAGCCCACTGTTGTGTTTTGAACGTGGGCCGGGTTGGAATGTAATACACCACGAAACGAATAGACGAGGGTTCATTGTCAAAGCTGGCTTGTCAAACAGGCTGAATTCTTTCCACTGACTGACTAGGATATTTTAAGGTTTTACGTGTGGGTTTCTGTTGTATATCATACACTTAAATCTATAAACAAACACCAGTCACTGTTTCACAACTTTTGAGCAGCTGTACTGAAAAGTAAAAATCTATTAGTCACCGTTTCTTTATGTCAGGTATCAAAATTGCTGAAGTATTGGTAGTTGTCTTCTTTAAGAAAGGGAATCTAAAGTGTGGCCTTTGCCAAGCAAATGACACCAACAATTAAGGAAGAAAGTTCTCACAAAAACAGTGGGGAAATCACCTGCACAATTTACAGGCAGTATAGTACATATAGGAGGAATCTGACTCTGGATTGTACAATGCTCACGATGTGCTTACTTACACAATAATACAATAACACAATAATACAGTCCCAGCTGACATCGGGCGCATGTCAGCTGGGATTGGCTCTAGCCCCCCCGCGACCCTGTATGCAGGATAAGCGGTTGATAATGGATGGATGGAATAATACAGTAATAAAATAAAACAGGCTACAGTATAGAAAACACACACACACACTCACTCACTCACACTCACACTCACACACTCACTCACTCTGTAAACAAAACAGACAGTATTTTAATTTAGAAACAAAACTTTCTCCTGTTTGGTGGACATGTTTATCTTATATTTACTCTTTGAGACTGGCTGGAGCTCATAGTGCAGAAGGTCAGGCTTGTATTTGACTGACCAACTCATTTTGCTACTGTAAAGGAGTCGTCTAGTTCCCTGTGACAGTCTCCATGACCCATGACATATGCTGGCAAGGTCATAATACATTCAATATCCTGTCCAGAGTACCTTCCTCGGCTTACTGAACAGGAGTTCCCAATTTTATAAACTCATACTTAGTAACTTACATGAGCATTACAGGGTATCCAAGTTCAGTTTTTTGAAAATAAAGTTGCATTGGCTGTTATATTTCCATAAATGATTGTTGATTTTTGTTCCATAGATGATGTTTAATAACAAGCAGTGCAATACTGAATTTAATTACACCTGGCCATAAGGCCTGAGTCCCTGAGAGTCATTGAGCAGTGAAGTGTTTCAGAAACATTTCTCTGCACCTGACCCTCTAGTTTGACTTCCAAGGGTGGCGAGTAAGAGGAACATTTTGCCCTCAGATATTAATAATGTCACAGCAATGAATAGATAAATATATTATGAAAACAAACTCATTGAAATGGCAGGAGCTTTTGCTCAGTGGTGCATTGACCTAGTGACACATGAAGAGGGTGCTACACCCACACAAGACTGCATTGCATCTACAACATCTTTTCAACTTTCTGCCAGCTGATGGCAGCACTGCACTTCTGTCTTTTATGTTTACTGTTGATGTGAATTAGTAGTGGCATCCAGTCGGTCTGTAATTGGTTTCCTGTTATTTCCTGTCCCACCCCTTTCCTACAAAAATACCCCTGTCCCATCCCAATCCCCTTACAGAGTGAAAAACCTAAATAAATTCCTGTCCCAATCTTGGAGGAATGACTCCTGTCACATCCCGCTTCTGATTTTAAAAGTCAGTAAATAGTATTTATTCATATTAGAACTGCACATTTATATATAAAAATAGATCTATAAGTTAAATTGACTCTCATCCTGCAGGAATCCCATAGGAATCCCGTGACCCATAGGAATCTTGAAAAAATGTCAGCCTCTAAGCCTCACCCTCTTTCCTTCTCTCCAGATGCTGCAGGATTGTGCCAAGGCCCGTAGGGAGGTGGAGCTCCACTGGAGGGCGTCACCTTGTTCCAACATTGTGGGCATCGTTGATGTCTATGAGAACCTCTACCAGAACAGGAAGTGTCTTCTTATTGTCATGGAATGGTGAGTGCGCACGCACGCACGCATGCACAAAATACCCATCCTTGTGTAGTAGTGAATACGATGAGCATAAATGAAAGCAGCTCATTATCCTCCTGTCAAACTTTACCGCCAAGTTGTTGGTTTTTGAGTGCCAATAGACTTGTAATGCTCTGTCTGACCAGGGGCAGATCTAGGATTTTTGTATATCAAGAGCCACAAAGGAGCTATACTTTACACAGCTGGGCCCAGTATTATCACTTTTTTATATTGTACTTTTCAGTATAATATACACACAGATAATATCACAACACTCTGAATTTGAGAAACTTTATGCACCTTCCACAGTTCAGCCAAAAAAGTGCTCTGAAGGAAACTGGTACATGTCGGGGACCTATCAGATTTCATCCTATCCCTGGATTCCCCGCTGCCAATGACAGTGTGGAAGTTCAGTCTCTAAACACTACTGGGAAATTCATTATGACACAGCCAGCATCACTTGCTAGTGTATGATTTCAAATCTGCACACTTACACTACAGGATTTCTTGCATTGTAATTAGGTGAAGTTAGGGATGTGCAATTGATCAAGTTTTAATCAATTAATCAAGTTTGGCTTACAACGATTATTAAAGCAAGTTATTTGAGATAAAATCATTATGCTGCATGCCGTTTTGCAATGACACTTGTTTTGTTGTGTGTTATAAATCCAGCTTTCCTTTAAGGAGCCCCACACCAATCGGCTTTTCCCTTATTCATAACTTTACAGATTACATATTATTTATACTTATACTAAACCAGGGGTATTAAGTGATGCTGTGGCACCCACCTGGATGATGCAGGTTGGGAATTTTGCAAGTACCCTCTACTCTTTATGACAAGTGCCATAGGTTCTTTAATGAGCACACTGAGTCAGGACCTCGATTTAACTACTCTTCCAGAGGACGGCATCTCCTACAGCACTGTGTCCCCATCACTGGACAGAGGCATTGGGATTTTATTATTAGGACCAGGTGGAAGACTGCCCCCTACTGGCCCTCATACACCTCTTCCAGCAGCAAGTTAGATTTCTCAGGAGGTCTCCCAACCAGGTACTAGGCAAGCCCAGACCCACTTAGCTTCAGTCACTCAGCAGAAACGGGCTACATGTTGGTACAGCTGCGAACAGCAGTAGTTCACTTGTCACCTGCCCTGCTCTCTCTGTGTGTGTACACACACACACGGAGCCCCCATGGCGGCCCATCCACCCCCCAAAGCAGTCAATTTGAGGAAACTCTGTCATGCTGTCATCCTCTTGCGCTCTAAGCGCTAAGATGCTGTTTAAAGTTAATAATATTCAGTTACTATTTTGTATTTCATTGGCTGTATGGGATTTTGGGGTAATGCATAGTTATTTAAAAAGAAATGTCAATTTTAAAAGTTCAATACCTGCGAGATGTTTCCTTAGTCAATCATAATTGTGTTAAATGATCGTGATCTCAGTTATGACCCAAAAAATTAGGATTTTTGCCAAAATCGAGCAGTTTAGGTGGAAGTACATCTATTTATACAAATCTAAACTGCATAAAACCGTAATGCTGCAATTTGAAACAGGAAACCTGTGCAGAGTGCACCAGTATAGCTAGCAAGATATCAGATACACTGCAGGCACACACTGGTCTTTAGCCGCCCATTCATGGTCGTTCTTTCCTGGATATATTTCTTGGCAAATCGTTGTGCAAAATGGGTATAAATCAAAATTCTTTCATACATTAGTGTTACTGTACTAGTTTTCAAGTGAGATGCTGTTGCAGTAATGGCAGCTCGTCTATTTCCATTATATCATATATATATATATAATCATTTTTATCTTTTGTGGTAGATTAGCAGTGTGTTTTCTTACCAGATTTACTTGAGTGAGTCAAGCTGTGTCCTCACAGTAAGCTGCTAACTAGTTTGTTAAATACATTGCTGGAAAGTTGATAAACAAGGACCCATCCTCATCCTCCCCATCACCCTCGTTTTGATCCACTTCTGTAAATCTCCTGCAAAAGTACTGCATTACACTGATAATACACACCCCGCACTTCTGTTTCCGTTTCAAATTAAAACCCCTCTAGTGATACAGGGAACAGAAACCCTTAATTTCTTAACAAGGCTTTTATTGTGAAACATTTCCAGATTTTTTTGTGGAAAACCCACTGATTTGCAACATTCTAATTCATGGGCTCTGATTATGTGTCATTCGGGAGCTGTTGAGTCGCGTGTGACACCTAGTAAAATCAGTATCACGGTCTGGTCTTTGGCTTAATATCAAACTGGTTTTAAGTTCACATTGGCTCAACCCTACATTCAACCAGCCTTAGTCTATATGATTTATATGAACCATTGTATTTTTAAAAAAGTGCAAAGCATTAGATCAACAGACATTACATTTATTTAAATATTAAACTGAGAACAGCTTTTGCTTGTTTTGTTCAATCAGTTCAATATTCTGTATATTGAATTATTTTCATGTAGTATTGCAGTTCCCAAAGGAGGAAGCTTTGATTACTCTGAGCAAAGGTGAAGTGAAGCACATCTTGCCTTCTCAGTAGTTCTAGCACATTATAGCCACATTAATTATTGTAAATCTGTTGTGTATGACCTTAGCAGAAAATGACCCATTTCTTCTAAATGAGCTTAGTATTTTTCCTTCACCTTTGTATTTCCATCTTGCAGCACTTTAAACCACCAAACCCCCATAACTTGTCACACGTGCACTCATTAGGTTTGTGGTTACCATTGTAGTGCGGATGTAGTGGACCTGTCTTCCCACACACTCACATGCAAAAGTTCTGCAGGTGATGAGTAATTTCCTTCAGAAAACAAGCTCAGCATAAGATGCCAATAAAGAAAAGTACTTGAAACTAAAATGTTGCCTAGAATATCACACTAGGAGACGCAGCAACTTAGAGATCTAGCTCTTTCATCTGCCTTCCTTCCTTTTATTCTGCTGTTGAAGTATTCTCCCATGTTTTGTAAAGGGGTCACCACAGCCGCTGCTCTGCCCTCTGACCAGTCCTCTGCTAATATGCTGCTTGATCAGGGAATTGATTTGTACTTTCTCAGTGACTTTCTTATGGCTACAGGCATATCAGAACCACAGCTGAAACATGTCTTTAATTGTGGTCAACCCTGTGTCCAGTAACACCCCATTTTAGGTGTAAGCTCCATTAGCAAGAGGATGCGTTAGACTTTCTCTTTGTTCGTCATTTAGACAGACGTAAAACAGACAGACGTAAAAATTCTACCATAATCTATTATTACCCATCATTTTAATTAATATATTTTAATTCTAATGAGACATATAGCTTATTTAATAGTGTTTAACTTTCAAGTCTTATCACAATAACATTTAATATACAGAATTCGCAGATGATGCATTTATAAGGGCACGGAGAGAACAGATGAACAGGGACACTTTCTGCCCACATGAAGCAGATGAATGATTTTTACCTCCTTGCTGCCAGTTGCAATCCCAGTAACATTAGTTGCTGCTGGCTAAAAGACATTATCAGTATTATCAGATTGTTCTTCACCTTCCACCACATCAATCCCCTTTTTTACACCTCGTTTATCAACCACATCACACTAAGAGATATGATGCAGGCTATGTAACGATATAGCCTACCAATACGATGGCTAAGCCAGCAAAACAAAGTCCTGCATGTGAGAAAGACAATATAACTGCTAATCAATATGCACACTCGCCACCAAATGGACAGGGGGTCTACTGCAGGCGGTCTACATGTGGTTATGGACAGTGTTACATGTGAATTACTTAAAGTTATGGTAGATTGTGCTTTATCTTAAACAGCCTTCAGATTTTTCTCTCATTGTTAATGGGCAATAACAGAGAATATTCAGTTGCAGATAAAGATAAGGCTGCATTAATATAATTAGTTTTATACTATTTGTACTAATAGCTGCGTAGGATTGTTCCCACCATTCAAGTAACTCACTAACATTGTAAAGTCCAAAAGTCAAAATTTGTTGGTCCCAGTTCACTGGGAGGCTGCTGAGCCCTGCTCTATTGACCGCTGGCCCGGCTCTGGTTCTGGTGCCCATTCCGGACTCAGCTAATAGGACTGCTAAGTTAGCTGCATTGCTTTCCTTCACCTGGTCTCTGCAGTGAGTGCTGAGTGCCACCTGTTGGTTGTTTGTTTTCCACCTTCAGACTAATAGTTAATACACTTCACAAGGCCTCACCCGGTCAAAATGTCAGTGAGGGGAGACAAAACTGAAATGGGAAAACAAATGAAAGGAGGCTGTGCTTACTATTAACACAACACTTTTTGGTTTAAACATTGTGGGGAAATTCCTTTTAATTCCAGATGCAGCATATCTGACTAATGACCTGGTCCTAAAGCGAAAGACAAACCTAGTTATTACACATCAGTTAACACGTGAAAGGCAGTTATGGCAATGACTCTGTAACACATTGAAGGATCTACAAGCCACCAGGTGCAGACTACGTGCGGGAAGTGACAGTTAATATTGCGCTTTTTCAGATCATTAGAGTAAACGGAAACTTCAATGTGGAAAAGGTCTGTTTAATTAAATTAGATTACATTTTGGAAAAATCTGTTGTGCATGTTGTACCTCCCTACAGTCGAGGTGTCTCCACACTGTACACAAGATGGGGGAAAAAAAGTAGACTGAAAATGTGTGAAGGTGTAACAGTGTTTCTGCTCCGATGGTGTAAGATTTGGGTTCTTAGTGCTCCCATTCTCATCAAAATCCGTAAGTATCTATTGTGCTAAGAATTCACACTTCATCTCTAGACATTTTCAGAAACACAAAGATACGAGAGGGTGGGGTTGAGATTGAGTTCATCTCCACCTTTGACCACATTAGAAACACCGACCTACCACTGTGTGAAAAACGTTTGCAGAGTCGAGGGATTGCCTCACTGCTGGCGGTTCGTCAAGTTGCAGTTTTTATTTTATTGATTTTTTTTTTTTTTTTTTTTTTTTTTTTTTTTTTTTTGTCATGTTGCATTTTTAACCTCAAAATACGATGGATCGGATAAGTGTCCATTTCTCACTGTGAAAAATGTGAATGATTGATTTGAAAAGTTCGAAGTGTGCTGTGGTTTAACAGGGACGTCCCACAGCTTTAAGTCTGCTGGTCCTGCTCTCCTTTCAGCACATGTATACCTGAAGAATCGCTTGCCGCTCATGCACATTTAGTCATACACGTACACAAAATTGGCATTGATGATAGGACCTGAAACTCACAGTCATTCAGAGAAATAGATTAAATGAAACTTAAGATGAAGTACATCGAGTAAGATTTTCTCATTGTCTGTTGAATTCAGGTTAACAACCATTGCTGTTGTATTTGACAGCACTTGCTTACAACTTTTTCTGTAACTGATATGATTGGATGTTTCAAGCTAACTTAATTAAAAATCTGTGTTTACAAATGCTCCAGCCTTTAGGCAATCAGGTTATACTGAGTAATAATCTTAGTTTGATAGTAATGAGTCATGCTGTTGTCTGTGGTGTTCTATTAAATCAGACTAATAAAAAAATGTGTGCAACATAACATGGTTAAAAAATTAACAAGCAAGAAACCTGTCCAAGACAGCAGGCGTCATTTGCCTTAATTTCCAGCTCTGTACAGTAAAAAGTTTGTGATTGCGCAGTACAAATGTGCCTTCATAAACCACATATATTTTAAGTCATGTTTTGGAGAAAACTGAATACAAATTGTCTTTGGTCTTCTTTCCACAAAGTAACAAGGTAATCGGGAGGAAATCAGGCTGTACAGCTGTGGAAACCGCTTCCTCTTGTACATTTTCAGAATTGTGCTTTCCATGTTCTCTCATTTCCAAAACACATTGATGTCATCAACTTCCACTTACATGTACCCCCCCCACACACACACACTCTTACACACACAGTTACACGTAACTAACATATAGTGACACACATCTGATAATCTGTGCTGTTGGAAAAACTGAATCTCACTGTTCATCGTTTGTCATCAAAATACATATGCCTGATTAAAATAAAGTGGGGTATGCAGGTAACAGGTCAATTGTAATGGTGATAATCACACAAACATACTTTCTATGCTGTTCATAGCCATGAACAATTAATACAACTAGGGATGCCCTGATCTAATTTGCATTATTCTCTGCTTTAATCTGGTTACTGTCCTAAGACTGCAGTTTTTAAGGATTGTATCCATTCCCCATTAACTCTACCAGTAGTACAACTATTACTATTAGTGTTTTATCCAGTTGACTACTACTATTTATCTTTACACTTCTTAATATTGTAAAACTCTGTATTTGTTTTTATACTTAAAATCCTTCCAGTCTCCCCCCCCCCCCCCCCCCCCCCCCCCCAAAAAAAATACTTGTATCCTTATTTCTCAAGAGTCATGTAATTTAAATCAAATCACTTAACATAAACATATATCGATTTTCTAAAAGTTTTTTTTTTAAATTCAGTTGAATTGCCTGCCAACAGCCATCAAACCAAATGAAGAACTGAAATGCCTTCAATATATATATTTTATTTATTTATTTATTTTTTTTACTCTTTTCATTTGGTCAGTTGGTTGTGTGCTGGGATGGCTTATGGCATTATGTTGAAATCAAAAGTCAAATAGACAAAGATTCACAGTTTTTGGAAAATGGTATCAATTAGGGCTGCATCTAACTATTATATTATGATTATTCTAAAGATAAGTTTATTAGTCGATGACTATCGATTTATCCCAAATAAATATCAAATGTGTCTCATTAATAATTTCATCAATATTTTATTAAATCATCCTGAAACAGACACACACACAAAGCTCATTAGAATAACGATAATAGCAGATCTTAATGTCTTAATAATAACAGAACTTAAGTACTTTACTTAAAACTTTAGATGTTTCTGACATGGATTTATTCACTGGCGTAATATATCAGAGATGGATAATCACAGGCAAATGTATTTCTGCAACTGAAATGATTTACAGACTGTGATGTAAGTTTAAATAATTATTGCACTATTGCCTCAATCTGTCTGTTTTGTTATTTGTATGTGTATATATCCGTTCTCTACACTGTAGCCTGTGTTTGATTATTATTGTATAAGTAAGCACATTGTGAGCATTGTACAATCCAGAGTCAAATTCCTCATATGTGTACACATACCTGGCAATAAAGCTTATTCTGATAAAAATTTTACAATCCCTACCCGTAAGCCAGATATCAGGACTGACAAAGTTGGATCGGCCCATCCCTAAATAAAATAACAATTATTAAAACAACCTGCTTCCAAACAACTGGGAGTTTCATATTCAACATTCAGTTTCAAACACTGAATTTTATAAGCCAGATCCTGACGTTGTTTTTTTGTTTGTTTTATGCAGCATGGATGGTGGTGAGCTTTTTAGTCGAATCCAGGACAGGGGAGACCAAGCCTTTACAGAGAGAGGTAAAAAGTAATAATCACTGCATATCTCATTTTACTGCTGTATTTTATTACATGATTACATTTCACACTTATTCAAATGTACCACTGCGTCTACACAGACATATACACTATAAGATCCATAAGATCCAGGCCCCTATAGGTGACTTTTCCATTTGCTGCTCCTGGCATAGTGTTGAGATATATGGCCAGTTCATCTGTTAGTTAATGCACCACTCACGCCACATGTAATCTATGTTAAAAGAGCTTTTTGTTATCCTTATTTTTAGAGGCATCTGACATCATGAAGAGCATAGGAGAGGCCATCCAGTTCCTGCATGCAATCAACATTGCGCACAGAGACGTCAAGGTTTGTGTCCTAATATTTAAATTTCTATGCCCTTTTATTGAGAAATGAAAGCAATCTGAGAGGGGAGTTTAAAGGATGGCTTCCATAGCAGTAACTAACGTCATACTCTTCTTTTTCTACTGGCTGGCTTCCCGAATCCTCCCCGCAGCCAGAGAATTTACTGTATACTACGAAGAGGCCCACTGCCATGCTCAAACTCACAGACTTTGGCTTTGCCAAGGAGACCACTTCCCACAACTCTTTAGCTACTCCCTGCTACACACCCTACTATGTTGGTAAGGATCTGTTTCTGTGTGTATTCTCTCCATGTGTCGCTTATTAATAGCGTTATAGCATTATAACAGCTAATAATGTGATATAACAGATTCCTGTACCCTATCCTTTGTTTTTGTCTTTTACTACATCCTGTCTGTCTACAGCTCCAGAGGTTCTGGGCCCAGAGAAATATGACAAGTCATGTGACATGTGGTCATTGGGTGTCATTATGTATATCCTGTAAGTCTGTTTTTTTTTTTCTTCAATATCTCTGAACCCTTCATCACATATGATTTATTTTTTGGCTCCTCTAACTAATGTTGCCTTTTTAAACCTTCAACAGGTTGTGCGGGTACCCTCCTTTTTATTCTAACCATGGTCTAGCCATCTCTCCTGGGATGAAAAAGAGGATCAGGATGGGCCAGTATGAGTTTCCCAACCCTGAATGGTCTGATGTATCAGAGGAAGGTAAGGCAATATTCATGTTTATGGGCTCTGGAGGTATTGAGTTGAGAAGTGGCTGTTGAGACTTCTTCTTCCTGAAACTGATTGAGAACCAAATTATGTGGAGAAGTACTTCTGTTTAAAAATAAATATATCACTCTTCAAAAATAACGTGTGAACGTATAAGAGTCAGTTATTGGGTGTACAAACCGGCTGTATACTGGTCTTACATCAAAAAATGTTCATGCAAGTCAATAATAACGTATCACGACAATATTGTTTCACAAGCTCCTGTATGAACAAAAAAGTCTCCCTTAAACGTGAGAGACAAGCAGGCGTTTTGGTCTTTGTTTTTTCTGATGAAGAAATTGAAACTGATTCAGGTGTTTCGCCTCCTATTTGCTGCCATCAGCCACATATGCTGCAACTGAAAGTGATGTCTTATTTCCTGAGTAATAGAACGGTGTGTATGCGAGGAACGACAGAAGAGCCAGATGGGGTGTACTTACTGTAACACGCTCGTCAAGAACCAGTGCAGTTCTTTTTGTCTATGTGTGCTATTTACTTTGAGCCGATTGTTTTAGATTTCATGATCAACAGATGTGGCAAAATCTCAGTCCACCAAAGCATTAACTGTTTGGCAGCCTATGACTGAAGGTTTCAAAATTGCAGCTGTAATAGCAAGACCTTTTCCCCCTTTTAGTGGTGTAAATAATAACTGTGTTTGCAGCTAAACAACTGATTAGGACCCTCCTTAAGACTGAGCCGACGCAAAGGATGACCATCACAGAGTTCATGAATCACCCCTGGATCAATGTAAGCACAAACTCTTGGTCATGCGTTTTTTTTCCCAGCTTATTTTCTTACCATCCCTCAAGTGAAGTAACATTTGAACATGTGTCTGTGTGTCTTGCTAAAGCAATCGATGGAGGTTCCCCAGACCCCGCTTCACACCAGCCGGGTGCTAAAGGAAGAGAAGGACGCGTGGGAGGATGTCAAGGTTAGACGTCTGGTTCTCTTTGCATCAGTTTTGCTCGCAAAAGCCAGCTCTGCTCATATGATAGCAACATTAAATAGAAAAATTTAAGGAGGTCCCATTTACCACTTATCATGTTCTCAATTTTTGACTCCAGAAGAATCCAGCCAAGTATATCAGAAACATTGCTTGATTAGTTTATTAAATTACAATATATACCCTGTGCTGGTGGGTTACTTTATTTTACAGTCTGTCTGTTATTTGGTCTTAAAAGGACAAATCTGGTGTTGTCTTTGTCATCAAGAGAAATATCAGAGATATTATCCAACGAAGGTTGAGGTCAAGGGCAACTGGGCTTGGTTGAAGATACTAGAAGACTTTTCTGAAGAAGTCTCTTGGATGAGGGACGAAACGTGAGCTAGTATCTTCAACCAGTTGCCCTTGACCTCAACCTTCGTTGGATAACTATGACCTGGATGACTGAGAACCTTCACAGATATCAGAGATATTGCTCATGCCATAGAATTTCACATTTAAAAATAATGTGACTAGCTTCACATTGACAGACGTTATGATCTAGCACCTGCTTCACTAGCTTGACGAGCGATATTATGACATAAAGCAAGTGACCTAATATGCTTCTTGTTTTCATTTTTTAGGAGGAAATGACCAGTGCCTTGGCAACAATGAGGGTTGACTACGAGCAAATCAAGATCAAGACCATTGAGGACTCGTCCAATCCACTGCTGATTAAACGGAGGAAGAAGGCTAATAACGCCATGGCGGACGCACAGTCTGCTGCCCACTGAAAGATGAGAGTATGCATGCATATACAAACACAGGTTGTAAAAAGGAAGCAATAATTTGTCGACACGTGAGTCGCATTGCATGGATTTTCTCAGTGTTTTATTTTTCAAATTCTAATATTTTGTAGGAGTGTTTGTTTTTATTACTCTACCATTTTAACAAACCCCCTCTAGCAGAGAGGATGTTTAACTGTGTTTTTACACCAGTGAAGAGATTATGAATTATAGAAAAGGAGAGGAGGAGGGGAACCGGTGAGATTTACCTCCTCTCCTTTCCCGAATATCAGGTTGTGTATCCAGAGGGGCTCGAATGTTGGAGTAAGACATGAAGCCTTAGCATTAGCAGTAGTTCTCTTTCACCCAGCAGCCCTGTTCTAGCTCTAGCCCCAAACCTGTGAATGTTAAAACAAATGGCTAAATCCCAAAAATTAAAGCAAGGGAAGGTTTCTTGTACGTACATGCAAAGTAAGCAGATGTATTTTGAACTGACGAGTGGAATGTAAGGACTCTGTCACTGACTGTTGGAATTAGCTTGAAATAGTCGCTCATTTCTCTGTGTTGAACTGGGAACTCTTTGTCAGGTTCAGTTTGTCGTCGTGAATGTCGAACAGAGGCCTATGCACTCACACAAGGGTCGTGTGCCATTCTGACAGAGCACCTCACTCTTGGCTTCTCTCTCCTACCTTTTAATCAACGCTTGTTTTTCAGGCGCATAATTTTAGGACAGAGAAGGACGCCACATTAAAGAACAGAAACTGGCTCGACCTTTCTCCTGCATGTAGCTCACAGGAGAGTAGGAGCCAACCGATAACTGTATTTTTTCATGGATTTTATGAACATATTAGCGTAGGCCTTACAGAGTGTTGCTAAAGCAGCAGATTACTTTTAACCCCTACCGACCACTTGGTTCAGGCTTTTACCAATGTTATGCTTCAGAGTATATAACGTTGCCAGATTATATTTCAGGTTAATGCTATGCAGATGTGTTTGTCAGCTTGAAGTACTGCTAGGACCTTTTTGTTAGCAATTTCTGTTTGCAAAAGTGTCGGAGAGATGTCGAGCAACAATCTGGAGCATTTATGTGTGATTATATACGCGGTAGCACCCTTCAAGGGAATACATGGTTCAGACAGACGGGTAAAGCTCTTGAGGACTTTCTGACACGAGCACTCAGCGTTGGCGTCAGTTGCACCAGCTTAACTGTCAGGAGGCTCAGTGGGAATAGTCTGGTGCGTTGCCAGTTTTCTCCATCCCTTCTCCTCCACACTTCCTGTAAGGTAGGAAGTAGAAAGTATTTAAGTGCTGCTCCTCAGAATCTGACATACCACCAGCAAGCTGTCATCACATTCAGACTGGGTGTGATGGGTGGTTTCTCCTCATTGTTCTGTTAACGCAACAGGACGTGTCCATGTCACTTGGGATCATGGGAAATTACTGTGTTAATTTTGTCAGTTTGGTCCACTTCACTTTGTAAAATCACATCCATAGTACCTGTCACCTAGCACCTACAAATCCCTCACTGTAAAAATGTTCATCGAATGTTTGTGACAATGTTCCTCCTGTATTTTTTGTTCCTGTTCATCCCTCTCAATACCTTTTTTTTGTAGTGAAAGCACAGATGTGTCTGCCCCCCCCCCCGTCATTGAGTCTGTTCAGCTTCACCTGCCCTACTTTTGTCTGCTTCAGCTTTGGATTAAAAAAAAACATAAAACAAAAAAAGCCTACTCTCTGATCTCCTTTTCTGAATCTGAGTGTGTAAGAAAAATAGGCACCAGGCTGTACACCTCCTGGACATAAAGCTCTTCACTGAATTCTATTTAAAAAGGAAATAATTACAGGCCTTCACATGGTACTGTACAGCATGTTGATGGACAGTATTATTTAAATGCCAAGGTAATACAACGTTTTGTTAAAAATTTATGGAATTTGAGTCAAAGTGATATTCACTTTCACTTAATGTGAGTTAATATCGCTTCAATTTAAGCTTAGTCTCTAGATCTAAATAAAGAGACTAAACTAATTTTAAAATAATGTAAGGTTATCGGGTTGCTAATGCTTGCTAAAGATAGTCTACTTGTATATCTTGATTAAATCCCAATAGAAATGTTTAAAAAATGTAAGGATCTGCCTCTACTTTAGTATTTTTCTTCTGCATCACGTCCCCAGCCATGACTCAGGCTCGGGTCGTCTTGGGATTTGTGGCGGAGTGCACAGACTCAACTCGTGACAGACATACTTTCTAGCATGAGTGACTCCTGGAATATACGCTTTTGCATCGCAAAACATGTGGGGACACTGAGTCAACATGGACGTTTGCCAACACTGGGGTGTAGAGGGTTTCTTGCCAGTGCGCAAGATTATTTCTCTTCAGGTGTGAGGCGTCCGTAGGCACTCAGCTTCCAGCTTTGAGTGTGATGAAACCTACAGTCATCTCTCTCAGTCATGCGTCAGGTAAGTGAGAAAGGGGGTTAAGTGGGGCTTCAGGGGAGTCCCTCGTGATAGTAGCACTGTGGAGGTTCTACCCCCTTCCCCAGCCTACTTCAAACCTCAGGACGCCAACCCAGTATGCTTTTCACAGAGGGTCGGAGGGCCCCTAAAGCATTTTATTGTCAAGAGGAGGTGGGACACAAAATATGTGGTATGAAAGGTTAGTGGTTTATACTGTGTAACTTCTGAAGAAATTGCCAAGTCAGTTTAGCAGCATCAGAGGATTTCCTTCATCAAAGGGGAAAAATAAGACCTTCATTAAATCACCAACATAAAAAAACGCGATACGTTTGTTTCCAACCTAGAAAAACTAACTTGTCAGTGTAAACAGTGTGTCATTACTGTGTGCACCCCTCTTTATTTATTTATTTTAAAGGTGTGGGGAAATATGAGGGATGGAGACTTCTCAGCTGAGGTGGTGACACAGCTCAGAGTTCTTTGAAGTGGCATGCCATCCTGATTCTCACACAGACACGCATCCTCTTAGATGGAGCTGGTTAACCAGACAAGGTAGCAGTAGTCTGAGGCCACACATTACCTCAGCAAGAAACCCACAGATAAGAGTGAACCTTGGCAAGGTGATCAAATGGAAAAGCCTTTCGTTATCTGTTTTGCACATACAACAGCAGTTGCAAGTCTTTCACATGTGCTGGAAATCGGATTGTTCTTACTGTCAGGTATAGCGCTGTGTACATGTGGTGGCTGTGGTTGCTTTGATTTCTTTCTCTTTTCTGTTAGTTTCTTTGCTGGTTATTTTAAAAACATGCCTTGTCGTTTGTGGGAACACATTCTTCGTTTTCTTGTAAGAAAAGCTGTATGTGGTCATACACAGTAAGAAGCATGCTGTACTGTTTGACACTGAACGCCTTTGAAAGAGACAATCATGTCAGAGCCTTTTGCTGTCATATTTTCTGTAGAATTCTCTCATTTACTGCCACTGTTTTGTTTTTTTTTCAGGTCCTTTTGATACTCACAGATCATCAATATACAAGATATCCGCCCGTAAGAAGTAATTTACATAGACCAGTCATTATTCAAATTGGTGCCAAGCAGTAGTGACAATGAGCTTTTTTTGGCACTTATGTCTGCTTATCTGGAAAATGTAACCTAAGATTGTTATCTCCATGTTCAGGAAGTACCCAGAGTGCCCCTTTTTGCACAATGACACAGTTGACATAGTTTGGAAGGGTGACTTCTGTTTACTTTATTATTGTTGTGAAATGTTGAAATGGTCAAATGTTGGTGAAATATTATTGCTACTCTCAGCTTACATAGTGCAAAGTGCACTCATGGCACGCCACGAGGCTGGACTGATGATTCAATACTACTAGTGTATTGCATTGCAAGTGATGCAATGGACGGTTTGTTGTGCAATTACCCCAATATTTATATATTTATATTTATTGGGTCTCTTGGGGGGGGGTATATGAAGGGGGAGACATCAACTTCTTCATTCAGGCCTGTGAAGTAAGTGGCCCTGAAGGAAGTCATGAAAAAAAAAAGTCTTACGGTAAAATAGACATTTGAGTCGCCTCTCCTTGTATTTTGTGGAATGAACTCAATGACCATGGATTCACAGTGTCGGGGTTGCTGTGCTGTGCTGTGGGGTAAACGGAGTCATGGGTCCTAATTGCGGAGTTGTATTCAGCCAACCTCTCCGGCAGCCTGTGTTAAAACAGACACATTCACTTCCATGTTACCATTGTTTTATGCAGTATTCCATGTTTTTTATTCACATTTATAAATGCTTCTCTTTTCAGACGTGGTCGGACCACTCTTTGCAAGAGCCAGTTCAGTTCGAGTATACTCTGACCTCTATGTATGTATGTGTGTGTGTAGCCCCTTGCAATTATTTTCTGAGCATTCAGTCTTAATGAAGTAGATAGTTTAATACTCTCCACCTAAATAAAGGGGTTGGGTTTGAAACCCATTGCTTGATTCTCGAGGGCAAAGTGATGTGCCATATTACATAGATCCATGTTTTAGAAACTCAAAGTAACCACTTGAACCATTAATCATGATCATTCAAAATAGTGATCTGACATGAGTCACTACAGGACTTTTTGGATGGTGTATTTGTTAATCATACAATACTGACAAAAATGATTGTCACCATTTCTTTCTCACCCTGACTTGAAACTATTGATCTCTGAACAGACATCCAGTCATTACAAAACAGACTCTCAACCACCAGCAGCACGTTAACAGGCGTGATTCAAAACGTAAACACTGGTTTCAATGAGACCTAATCAGCATTTGTTTTTTGTGAATTTAAAAACTGAGAGAACGCAACAGCATCTAACATGATTCATCCTAAAGGAAACTGTTATTAATAGTGGTCAAATAAAATAGTCACGCTCTATCAGACAAATGTTATGAATGATATTTTTGCATATGGTACCGTCATTGCTGGAATGATACTATTCAGATCATCCCACGGTGACTTAGTAAGTGACTGTTGAAAGGTCTTAGAGTAGTTTCGATGTAGAGGCCTTAGTCAAGTCAGGAATCAGTCAAGTCAGGAACCTTACAGACACTTTGCTGTGAGAGTAGTGGAAATACTTACATTCAAATGGTATTACAGGATGCAAAGCTTGTTTTGTGCCTTTTTTGTTTAAAACAAAAACCCTTGTTGCTCAGGTATCCATGTATTGCAGTACAGCTGATGAGTTAAACCCCTGAAAAAACCTAGAGTTACCCCCTCTGGCTATATGAAGAAGATGACATAACGAAGCAATAGTCTGACATTTTTTAATACAGGGCCTCTGGAGTTTACCATTTGTGTTTAGTTCTGTTTTATGATCTGTATCTCTGCATGTGACTTAAGTGAAATTGCTTTTGCATGCACATGTGTGAGGGCTTGTGCAAGCGTGCATATGCCATGAGGGTGAGGCTGGCTACTTACAGTTACCGTAAGTTAAGATACAGCAGGGCTGCTGCTGGTAAGTGATGTATATGGGTCACGTTTGAGGTTAGTGCATCAGCCTGTCGAGTTTACACTCTAGTGCTTCCCCACATATAGACTGCAGTGCAGGATGTGATGAATTCTGTGCTCTACCAGTCACCCATTCCTAATGAATGGTGCATAAAACAGCTGTATCATCATGTGAAATAAAATCAAAAGAATCAATCATTATCAACTATGATCATTTATTCATCTGTAAAAATACACATGTAGTCATAATAAATACATTTTACATATATGATAAAATAATAAATAATAAATCAGCTTCTTAAGCGAACGTTTTAGTTGTAACTTCATGTAAGACTCAATATGGTCTTGAAACGGAAACTTGTCCTCAGGACAAAAAAGTAAACAGAAGTCTCAGAACAACTAAGACATCACTTCAGCAGGCTCACAAAATAAACATCTAGCAACACTTTTCATAACACTGAAAATAATAGACTGAATGCAGGTTAGGGTCAGCAGGTCTTCAAACATAGGCCGCTCTGGGATTTCTGTGCCGGTTAGAAGCCAGATATGTCTCAATGTAGTTAAACAGCAGGTCCAGCTCACCCATGGCCTTATATAGACCTTTACTCTCCATCTGTGGACAAACGAGTGGTTCACTTTATTAAAATCATCTGTCAAAATACAAGCATGTGCAGACTGCACATATTTCACATTTTCACAGTTGAAGACAAAATCTTGGCACTCACCTGAGTGTAAGTAGAGTTTAGGGTTTTTATGTCAAACTGCTTCTTGCATGCAAAGTAATGTCTCTGTAAGAGGAACAACAGAAAAGTAATGTTAATACACTGGTTACAGACTTTGATGAGTCATGTCCTGAATGCAGCCCCCAGACAGCGCCTTCTCCTACCCACGGAATTATTGCTAATGGGCAAATTGCCCAGGTTGGAACTTGGGTCTGCCAATCCATCAAAGGAGCATGCAGCAAAACAGAGGCAAAGTTAGGACAACACACTCCGTGAGAAGCAGCATGTCTTCCCTTCTCTTCCCCTTTCTCAAGGACTGCATGATGCGCAAAAAACAATTTAGGAATCACTGACTAATGCGTATTAGTCTTATGAGCCATCACTGAACTCTTCCCTTATGTCTCGCGGTCAGCCATTTGCCTCGTCAAAAAGTGCGGGGAATATTTTTGACAGCTTCTGGATGTAACCCAGACTAGAGGATAGTTTGTCTGTGTCAGATGTTCGTCAGATTGCGGTGTCAGCTAATCACGTGTTCTGTGTAAAGTATGAAAACAGAAACTACATGTGTTCTGTGAGCATCAATTCGCCCTAATAGTCCAACCTGTCATTACGGTGCAATAATGAAAAAAATATTTTGAATTTAATATCGGGAACCTTCAGTTCCTGCTGGGACTATATTAAACGTGGAAGTACATTTTTATTATGATCCTCACTAAATATTATTATATTACTATTAAAATCTAACAATCACAGCGATTTTGCACAAAGACAAGTAAATTGACAAATAGACTGCTACACACTGCGCACTGAACGCCTTCAGCAGCGCACGTCGTTGTGTATTTACATCTTTAAACTCCTGTAGGAGTAACACGTGTGTCATCTACTCACACATCTGGTGACATCACTCTTGAGCTCGTCGAAGATCTGCTGTATGGACTCCATGTGGGGCTTTAAGTCCTTGATGTCCTCGGTCACTCCAGCCAAGGCTGTTGGCAGAATCGTGCCAAGATAAAACTCCAGTAAGCTGTTCATGGCGTGGCAGGCAAACGGGCTCTGAAGTTGGAGGGAAACACCGGCAGGTTATAAGATGTCGTTTAACTCTTTACTGGTGTACATGATACTTTGGATTCAATTTGGAAGTTGCGTTTTTTCAACAACAAAAAGCTCCCAATGAATGGACTTCGTGGAGTGTTAATAAGGAAACTTACTTTGAAAGAATCCTCGACGCTCTGGTCTAGCAGCGCTGTGTCTAAGTCATTGTTTGCTTCCTGCAAACAGAAAAAGCTCGTGCTCAGCGTGCTGTGACACAGTGTCAGCAGCTGCAGAGCTGCAGCATCACTTGGGGGCTGACAGGACACAGCCACATGGGCGGTGGGAATCTAGCCAAATGATGCTGCAACAACTGGCAGGAAACCTGCAGAGTGAAGTGCTGTGCTTTTACTCACATAGAAGTCTCTGATCTGTGAATAGTCCTCTCTGAGCTTCTTCAGCCTGACCGGGAAGCCCTCCACGAAACGGCAGCACTGGTTGTTGCACATGGGACTGCACCAGGCAGTGCTGAAGAAAGACAGCAGAACCAGGACGGACAGGAGGAGAGACCGAGGAGTCATTCTGGTGGACAAGCTGCTGAAGTCTTCTGGAGGTAGAGGAGAGAAGATTGGAGTCCTCAGTGGTAATGATGCTGCTGGCTTAATGGACGCAGAGGCTCTCTGGCTTCTGAGGAAAAATCTTCTTGTTAGGATCTTGCTGAAGAGCTCAGAAAAGTGCATGTATTTGGGCTCATCTCTTGTCTCAATTTATAGCCGAAATTTTGAACACCTGAGGGAGGAGACTGACGGGAAGAGAAACGGTTAAACATGCTTCATACATGGAGGGGAATTTTTTTTTTCATGCATTACATATGGGGCTACTCCTCCCATGAGATAGGTTGGTACTATTGATAGATCTCAAGATCTTATTCAATAGCACTTATGGAATGTTGATGTGACATAATTTCCGATTATTCTCATTTATATTTCTAATATTATTTTATATATGTACGTGTGTATTATAATTATTATAGTTTTCTATTTTAGTATTTTTGTAAATATATATATATATAAGAAATGTGTATTATAATTATTATAGTTTTCTATTTTAGTCATATTATAAGTGTCAGTAGTAGTATTACTACACACCAGTCCCATGTACACTAAAGTCTACAGTAATATTGCCTTTATATCCACTCAAGTAGCACATATATGGAACTTCTAATAGATATTTAGGTGCAAATGTTATAATATTTGTGCATTTAGAATAACAAAGGAAATAGTGTCAGTTGTGGTTTGACTTTGATGACGCTGTGGATTCTCTCTGTATGCCAGACATGCGTAATACGACTGACATAAGTGAAGACAGGTGACATCTACTTATCTTTGCTTTTTGCTCTATGTAGGTGATTGGAGTCATGGTATGCTGTCTCTTTGAAGTTTACATATGGCGGGGGGTATATATATTAAAAGGAGAAACTGTATAGAGAAATGGTTCGGTAATCTAAGGGGTGTTTTCCCCTAAGTACTTTTCTGTCTGTCTCATGGAATGTCCGCTTATCCACAACTAATGAGTCTTAGTCCATTTATGTTGGGCAACACTGTTATTTTGAAAACGTTTGTAGGGAAACCCATTCCTAGGCATTATCTGTGATTGATGAAGACTTCACAATCTGTGCAAATAAACTTCAGGTTGATTTGTCATGTTTCAAGTTAAAATGCATTTACCGAATGGAAGTGTGTGTCATACTGAAGATAACAGTGTGCTTTTCACAGAATAAAATAAATAAGAAACAAATGCATGATACTTAGTGTACAACTTGGTGTGTTTGGCTTTTTTGTTTTCATCATCGGAATGAATTGCTTTTGGGAACTGGGAATGACCATGTGCAGGCCTTAGTGTAGCTAATGCTGGCTATGGCTAGCCTACAGGAAACTGTTAGTTGAACAGCTGCGTGTCATGGCTACCTATAGCCACAATTGGATAGTTGATTGTTTTTCATTCTGGCAAGGCCTTTGCATTTCCATTCCAAAAATGAAAATGCTCAATCTATTCTGCTCTCTGCTGGACAACATTGAAATGCAATATACCTCTTCACTTCCACCAAATTTTGACCCAATTCGATATTATTAATGTGTCATGAAAAACTCATGCTACAGTAAAAAACAATTCATTCAATTTATAAGGACAATAAACTATATATTGAAGATACAATAATAAATATATATAAATTCACTATAAATGCATACATAATTTTACTTTATTTGTTTGATTTGTTTTCATTTAGGGATTTTAAATTTTACATAGCTCGGTGCTTATGTAACGTAGAACAAATATTCTAAGATTCAAAGATTTTAGTCAGCATGCCTTTGAAAGTCTTTTGTATGTATGAATGAAGTATGAATTTCAAATGAACAACATGGATGTCAACATGGATGACAAATATTACACCATAAATAGTCTTCTTAAATAAAACATTTTTTAAGTTAATAATATTGGTCAAAAGCAGGCAAAACATAAGGAATACAAAGAATCGAGTCAGATGAACAGAAATGAGTCTATATCCAGCGCAGTGTTTTTCTTTATTTAAACAGGTAAACATATTGGTAAGATTAGAATCTCTTTTTTCAGGAAAGATGTGGTGATGAGGGCAGCATTTAAACATTGTTAACATTGTTGAAGTAAATACAAACAACACAGATGGGCTAAGACAACTGTGACACACTACAAAAGGCACACAAACTGAAGTGGAAGGGAGATGGTGACAGCCTGGGATTGTTGTCCAATTTGTTCCCAGAGAATTTTGTAAATTGTGAAATCCAGGTAACACCTGACAAATCGAACTGCAACAAAATGCAGAATAGGAGGTTTTTGTGCTAGCACATACAAATTACAGGAATTATTCTCTAAGTGGTTTAAAACCTAAGAACGAAAACAGTTCAATCAAATAGGCTGACTTGTTCTAGATTTTCATCATATCAACATAAAAATGCAATATTGAGTTTTCTTGAGTCTTTCAAGCAAAATACACACTATGTGTATTTAAATAAATGCACACATTTTATTTATACACATGAAAGTTCATAAGTGAAAATAACATGAATCAGAAGTAAGTTTATGGGAAGCCCTTCTTACTTTAGCACTGACTGTGTGTGTGTGTGTGTGTGTGTGTGTGTGTGTGTGAGCATGCGTGTCTACTTTCTGCACTAAGCTGTGTGATTTCATGATTTTGTGTGGTTGCAGTTGCATTTTAGTTGTCTCTGCACGGTCTTCTAGGCTTTGAGTTGTGACTTTGTTTATGTGCATATGAGAGATTTTGAGTCTGCTATTGTGTTAGATAGTTTCTTTCTTAAAATTAATTAATTTTTAGCTTTAATAATCAATCCCCGCATGCCAGAAGTGACCAGAGAAACTGCTCAGTAACAAAACCAACGTCATGTGTTAACCAGTCCAGTATCAGTGTGGTAGTATCACTAATCCCATGGTGAATTTTTTTTTTTAACACATAATTTCCTGGTGTCAGAAAGTCTGAGAAACGCAAACCACGTGACAGTTTATTTTAGCTAGCATATCTCAAGCTCTATTTCACACTGCCTCCTCAAAAGCTGAGTCAGTCAAATCTTATCTTTAATTTGTCTGTAACTTACCTCAACAGCAGTCAGCACAACGCCATCACCTAAACTTTTCTAAACTAACTAAAACTAAAAGTTTCTGATGTCGTCACTAGCCAGTGCTCAGCAGTCGCAGTGTTAACTGAAACCTGACTGTTGATATGATATACTTTCATATACATATTGGAACATGAATCAGAGAACACCACTCTACACTGTACTGAAATAATAAATTGACAAAGACTTGGTGTGGATGCTGGTGGCTGTTTGCAGGATCCTCTTGACATCTTGACACCTTATGCATCACATTGGGTGTCTGCATAGTGTAAACTTGCTGCTGTCTCCTTTAGAGGAAAGCTATCTGTCTTTACACATAGATTCACCACATTATTCTTTCACTTTCACACAAGTCGTCTGTTTGGCGGCGTATGTTTCTGTGTGTGTGTGTGAAGCATGAAATCCTTCAGAGATCTGTTTCTGTTATTGTTTATGTTTGGTGGTTATTGTAAACATAAATAATAGTAGTAAAGTGTGTGCTAGTTTTTTTAGACTTGTCTCAATAAGACTACAATTAAAAGTGGAAAATATGAGACGAGGTGTCCCAGGGTCTTGCCTAAGCACTCACAAAGACTCAGTTAATGGGCACTGTGATAAGTATAACAGCTGATATCTGGGTGGGTGGATGCTTATTATTAGGAATGTGTAGAACAGGAAAAGCAACATTCTGGGAGTTTCATCAGTTTCCTGTTAATGACCTACAGAAACCCATCTGGATTTCATATGAATCTTTTAGTCATTAAGTCTTCCCACCATGAATGTGAGCTGTCCTCTGGTTGGCATACTCCTACTTCAACCTTTGGAGTGAAACGACAACATATCTGTTGTAGCTCTTTCAGTGTAACTGTGATGGAAATGGGCAAAAGATTCAAACATAGCATGCAGATATGAACTTAAATACCTGCTAAAAAGATACCCAGATACTTCCCCAGAAACCATCTGTCGTCTCTACAGAGCTGAGAAAGCAACATGAGATGATTGTATTGTTGTAACTTGAAACTAAAGTAGCCCTGTCATTCTGCTGAGCAAGCATCCTTTCAGGAGGAGATGAAACTTTCCCTCTGTACACATTTATCTGTTTGACCTGGACATTATTAGTAATGTAAGATAAAATTAGCTTAACCTTTCCGGTTCAATCAGTGATTGATACACTCCAGTGTGATGCTTCCATAAGTATGACTCTTCATCCTCCATACCCTTTTTATCTGTTAGAATGGAAGTGCGTAAGCACATGCGTGCATATGGCCATTCGCATATGTACCTGTGATGGTGTTAACCGCAATTATGTAAGCAGTGCTGATTGTGACAGCTCATATTTTCCCATGGTGTTCAAACATCTGAGGGCTGAATTAGTGAAAGTAAAAATAACCGTTTCTAAATGCAATTTGAATGATGAATCACATTTTCATTGTTTTTTTGTTGACGTTTATTTGGGTCTTGGTCTGCCCATGCCCAGATGTGAAGTCATATAGAACCTGTGGATGTGTTGCATCTGCTCAACTGTATTTGACATTAATTACCACTAAAGGGTAATAATACAGATCAGTCATCACTGGTGCTGCACTCTCTGTCCAAGGCTTTTGATACTGGTGATAATATTATTTTGTTAAATAAGCTGTTTTCAGTGATGATTCTGCCTACATCTGGTTCAAATGTATCGATCTGGTAGAGGCTATTGTTGCTGATGTTTTCAAATCAAGTGTGTCCCAGAGGGATTGAAATTTGCTGGGGGAGGCTGTGGCTCAGGAGGTAGAGCGGAAGGTTAGGGAGGTAGAGCGGAGGTTAATCGAAAGGTTGGCAGTTCAATCCCCGGCTCCTCCAGGCTCCATGTCGAAGTGTCCTTGGGCAAGATACTGAACCCCTAATTGCCCCTGGCAGCTGTTCCACCACTACAGGGCATTCTCAGGAGGAAGAGAGTTTATTATTGTGTGGTCCTGGTTTGTGACTTTTTTCAATAAACACAGTTTTGCACACTCATTCATTCATATGAATTCCTGAAAAGTATGATAGCATGACTGTTGACAGAAACACACTTATATGTACATACATTTTATGAACAATTTGCCCTAATAGTCCAAATTTCAATACAGTGCAATAATTACTTTAAAAATAACTAATAAATAAATTTACAATATTTTAAACTATCATAATAGGAGCATTCAGGGCCATTATGGAACATTGTTAATCCCTGGACTTCATATCCTTACATTTAGAGATTAATTTTATTTTTATGTTGGCATGGGCACTCCAGCAGTTAAATGGCGTTCCAATGTCAATATTATCAAATTAGGTTATTCATGAATTCATTACTAACAGGTGCTACAGATCAACAGTCGTCATCTTTAGACGAGCTAGGTTAGTGCTCGCAAAAATAAGGCCCATCTTAAATCTTACAGATACAAAAACTGTTGTACATACATTTATCTCCTCATGCACTGACTATTGCAACAGCCTTTTCACTTGCCTTAATGAAAAAACCCTGAATAGGTTACAGACTGTACAGAGCGCAGCTGCTTGGCTCTTAACCAGGACACGGAAATGTGATCATAGCATGCCTGTTTTAGCATCATTGCACTGG